CAAGTCAAAATAAAGCAAATAACAGTCACTCGGATCCAGAAGATCCAATTCGCATCCCAGCCTTTTGAAGGATCTTGAAGCGGCATCATTTCCAGTATTATGGCGACTGCTAGCGCTGGGACAGGTGTAAGAATACACACAAGCAACACGCGGGTCTTGGACGCGGTCTTACAGTAGTGATCTAGACTCTCCACTCTCTCGATTGAGTATTCTCCCTGTCGACCAACTTGAATGGCATTCCACTTGTTCTCAACACGTGATAGAAACGAAGATTCTCGGTTCAGCACTCCGCTGTCCTTGACGTTCTCCGGGTGTGTTTGTACTGCCATTCGTCTGCTGGGTGTTGAAGGTCTGAAGACTAAACCGATAAGTGATACCTGACTACGCAGCAAGCACGAAGAAGTCAACTGATCAGGCATAATTTGCGATGGGTTATTATTATCTCGGCAGTCTTAAACAGTTTTGGCTGGTTCTTGTCGTTCTTTTATTGTTACGTTTCCAATACTGTAAACATTTATCTTGGTAGTGGTTCGTTTACGAAGTACGTACAGCCCTTTAAGGATTAATTCGCAAGTTTGACTTTTGTGGCGCGCACCATTCATCACCATACAGAATTCAAGTGTAGACCGTTAAGTCATGTGCATGTTTTCAAAGAGCTATTAACACCAGGAGGGATTTTGGTGCATATTGAAATGCGTTTCGTGGATATATTAAATTCTAAAAACTAGAGTTGAACGTATTCATCCTATTGGTTCATTACTTTTTTTTTTAGCGAAGACCCAACCAAGGTTTTTTTTGTTTTACCGCAAGGTTTTACTATTTAGAGCAGATAGAATTTAGAGCTTGTCGAGCTTACTACGATGCTGCTTCAGTTCCAAGATTAAGGCCCTGGTCTAAGTAGAAATTCCGAAACTCGTTCCAAGAAATTCTGCTCGGTCATTGGCTGAAAATAGAAACAGATTTCGGAACGCGTTCTCAAATTTTACTGTTCTGTATGGCGTTCTCAGAATACCTCCGCTACCTATTCCGAAGTGGGAACGAGTTTGGCGTCTCTACCGATGTATACCCGTGCCGACTTTAGGAATAGCTCATTTTGCTGTTTGCCTCCGGTAGACCTCAGCACTAATCCCCTGTCAAGTCACGTCGCTTCGTAATGGGCACCAAGGCAAAACTCGCCGTTCTCTGCATGTTGCAGTGCGTTTGTGCAACTGTGTCCGCTCTGTGTAGCGATCGTCGTCGTCTCGGTGGAGAGACCCGTTCCAGTGTCAATACGTTTGCAGCTACAGCTTTTGAGAGAGCAATGCAGACTAAGAAAACAAAATGGTTTCACTCGAAGATGCGTTGTGACAAGCGAACATTTCTTGCGGTTGTAGCTCTTCTCAGGCTCAACTGGAGAGACCGTATCCATCACAATGTCAAGTTTGACATCACCAAACGCGTTGCTGTGACGATGATCTATCTATCTACCGGTGAAACGATTGATAAAGCTGCTACTGTCATGGGGGTGTCAAAAACCAGTGCTGTTGTATACATTTGCCAAGTGCTGTCGGTTCTAACGAGAATGGCGAAGGAAGAAATCACAATGCCCAACACACAGACCGAAATCGAGAGAGTTACAGATGGATTTGAGCGAATCGCAGGCT